GTCCGTAGACAATTCAGCGTGTAAATAATGGCCTAATAATTAGTATGAAAAACATCAGTCATCATTTGACTTAATGATAGATTGTATTTGCTGACAAGGTCATTGAATCGACCATAGAACTTGCGAAATGATGACTTTAAACGAGACTGTTGATATTCTTGTTGTTTCATCAACTTGTTTGTCAATAGCTTTTATTTTAAGTTAACCTGGATATATCGAGTCGACATATGAATGGAAGCAACTATTGCTAATTGATAATACGTCGTCGATATATATAAATGTCGAGTTGAAGGCCACAGCAAGTGTTTTCTTCTTCTCGTGTACAAGTTTTAGAATAAATTCTGCTTCATATGAATACAAAAATAAGTCTGCTAATAACGGGACATAATTGGTACCCATGGAAATTCCGACAGATTGTTGGAAGACCTGATCTCCAAAAACTACATAGATATTGTCAATCAGAAACTCAAGCATCTTTTTATTATCAACTTCAGAGTACTTGTGTGTACAATCAGAATGTTTTAACAAAATAATTTTGCAAATGACCAAAGACAAAATAAGTAAATATACGATTTCCATTTTTATTAAAAAGCAGCTTTCTATGATGTCAAAATGCCTGAATTTTAATTTACAAAACACTTTAAAAAGAATTACTTTTAATATAAAAAATACTATTTTGGGTGAAATACTGCTCACTAAAGATAACATACCTATAAGCTTTATTATAATATACACTAAGCAGTATACTTTTACTTGCTCATCAGAGTGTTAAAAAACAAACTTTTTTTGGCCTTGTAAGTCATTTGATTGTACACCACTATATCATATCCACTAGAGTTTTACATAATAGAAACCAGTAATTTGATTTAAGAGTTATTGATTCACTCCAAGCTCAAATATACCAAATACTTGTAAATAGGAACTTATATCTCATTATTTTCTGACACCTAATCATTACTTCCTATTGATCTTAATGAATTAAGCACTTGGAAAAAGAGGCACATTTTCTAGGACTAACCTTTGGTAACAAGTTCAAACAAATTTATTTAATTCACTTTATCTTTTTAATGGAAACATTTTGAACATTAAATCCTGTTTCTTCAAGTCACTTCTATGCAAAGATAATGAAAATCTTGTACTATGGGGAGTTAAGTACTTCTCAAGAGCACCGATAGTACACATAATTTATTCTTCCAAGTTTACATATACAGTGAAATGTATCTAATTCAACATGCACTGGGAGACAAACTTCGTCTTTTGAATAGACAGGATGAAATGAGAATTTCAATGAAGGTTGCAATTCATAGTGAAACGCGTACGGATTTCACAGGTTTCAGACTAGACAGTTTTCACTGTATTTTTTTCATATCAATATGGAGACACAGTAATCAGGTACAATGTATTTTTATGTCTTACATCTACATGTATAAAGGAAATATAGTAACAGATCACTGCAAAACATCTCAATTCAAGAAAAATACCTTCAAATATTTTACAATCTTTAATAAATAATAAGGCATTTTATGCATAAAATCAAATGAGGAAAAAAATATGAAGTCTGTGAACAAAGAACCGGTATATTTTCTACCTGGATCATGATACTAACAGATAAGTAAACAAAATCAATGTAAAGCAATATGCCTAACCTAAAAGATGAATAAATGTTTTCAGAACTGCACATCTTCAAAATGTTTTAATATAAATAAAATATAAATGCTGAAGTTAAGCTTAAATACAGAGAAAAATACTCATAAAAATCAAACAAAATCAATAAATGTATTAATATTGATCATACGCAAAAATCTAAAAAATTTACAAAATTAAAATATACAGATGAATATTTATCCAAATGATTGAAATCCTACACGTTGCACTTGAAGATGGAATGGAATTTTAGTAGTTTTTACACAATCCACAGAGTAGACTTATTATTAAGAAAGAAAAAAATAATTGTGGACTACATATACGTATGCACTCTCTTCAATAAAAAAAAAAACAATAAACATGTATTCTAATGATTTTACACAGAAAATCTTTCTTATAATCATTTTTTTTTTCATTTCATTGCCAATTTCTCTTATTTATATTACTGGAGTTTTTTCAGAGCATATAATTTTTACAACAGTGCTAGGGATGGGATGATACACCTTCTTCGATAAGTATTATGATACTTGCAGTGCCAAAATATTTTTAACTTAATTTTCCTTTTTTATTTTGAATTTATATTTATATCTAAAATATTCATTTTAAATATTATCACAGATCTATAACTCTCCTGTGTTTGCTGCTAGATCCACCCCTCAAAATTCATTTATTGATCAGCAGCCTGCTCTCACTCCCTCCACTGGAAGAGCTACAACTGCTGCTCTGGTCGTCTATCCTGGCTGTTGTAACGGGCACCCCTGTTTGGACTTTGGTAGAGCTTGTGTCATCTTTCTTGTAATTTTCCTTTAAAAAATCATGGAAATTAATATCATTATATGTTACATCTGTGCAAGTATAATTCTTGTGACAGTCAAATTATTCCTTTTAAAACAAAGAAAGCAACTTAATACTTATAGCTTATGAAATAAATGCGATTTTTTAAAATATCTGAACTTTAAAAAGGACAAATATAAATCATAGAAATGTTATCATTCCAATGCTACCTTTCAGTTTGGAAAACCATTTGAAAAAAATTAGAATCCAAAAAATCTAAATCCTCAAAATTAAAATGTAAAGTTTTTCAATCAAAACATGTTACTTCAAGATCTGTTTAAGACCAAGATACTTTAAGCTTTTTTAAACAAAAAACTGCTTTCTTTGTAGAATGGTAATTAATGTTGCAGCTATTGCAGAAAAAAAATATATAACCTGTGTAAGCTGCAACTGTTAATTCCCATAGTAATACACAAAGAAAAAGTTTTTCAAAAACATTTTACAGTTTATATTTATGTCTGTATAAAAAATCAAATAAAATAGGTGTAAGTACATTAAATCAAGGAATGTTTTTAAGTTTTGTGTGAATTATTGGTGTGTAAATCACACAGACTTGTCACGTAGGTATATTTCATGAAGCGCGCTAGCGCTTAATAAAAAAATATGCCTACGTGCAAGTCTGTGTGATTTACACACCAATAATTCACACTAAACTGAAAAACATTCCTTATATTTACATTTTACAAGTTCAAAAGCCACAATATTATGCTCAATATTTGAATTTCTTGCTGCCCTATATCATTACATTTTTATTAACGTCTCTGTAGCCTCATTGTGACGTCACTTTACCGCGAGTTTCACCGTGTATATTTCTACGCGTGAGTATACACAGAAATGAACTTCAAATCAATTGCAGAGTTGGCTTAGTAGAAAAACATAGCAAATGCAAATATTATTGTATTAATTGATATGTACGTTTTTGTACGTTTCATTCACACTGCATAAGAAATCTTTGGGTGTACAAGTAAATATTTAACCATCTGAAAGGGGGTACATTGAAACTAATGGTTGCAAATTGGAAAATTTTACCTGTTTTGAAATACCAGTCCATAGGGAACCAGCTTCTCCTCTTATACAGCCAATCACAAATGTTGTTACAAGTGTAAATGGCACAAGGTACAACAAAGCTGGTTGGCCTTTGTCCATAAGATAAAGGGCAAGGAAGGTCACCACAAGACCAATAGCATATGCTGCAATAAAAGAAGAAGGGGAAAATTGTAATTTTAAAATGCTGACCAGTAAATCTATTGAACAAGTCATATTATATTGATGGGAGTTCTTTTTTTTAATTAAATGTTCTATATAATATTATATATATTGCTAAACACAAAAAATTTCAGAAGTTTGCTTTCTTTTAGAACCAAGGGATGCATGGTTCTGAAAGAAAATAACTCGTCTATTTATCATATCCGGAAACCATGATGGTTTGAAATCATTAATGTACAACTACATTAAAAAAAAGTGTTCTGCCAGATTTCAGAAAAATTAATAAATATTTCAATGAATGAACAAGTTTTTCAGAAATGACTTTTTAAAAAAAAAAAATCTTTCACAATATGTTTATCACTTTAGTAAAATGGTGATATACAGATTCTAACAAATTGCCGTATCTCATTTTAGAAATGAAAACTGAGGTGTCAGTGTAATATTACATTTTATGGTGAAAGCTATACAGCTATACCGAGTTATTACACTCAGAACCTTACCTATAACAGTGGCTATGAAATAAATCCGTCTCGTGCCCACTCTAACATCAAATCTGTGGTTATAGCTGACCAGTAAACCTTAGAAGAAAATGATCTCTATTATTAAGATGCAAGTTCTTTATGTTCTATGTTACTACTACATACAACAATTTACAAAAGTTCAAATAGAACAAAAAAAAAATGCAATTGTCTTTCTAAACATTGGTAAAGAGATTTTTTTTTGTAAGTGATAAACTGTGAATGCATGAAAATTGTAACCAGAATTGATTGACTTATTCATTTATTTATTCATTAAGAATTCTGAGTAAAACAATAACTTATTCATTTATTTATTCAGTAAGAATTCTGAGTAAAACAATAACATCTTCTATAAATTCATTTACTATCACCCTGGCTACTAATCTGAATACAGCTGATTTTCTTAAACAAAAGGAAACAGAGCAGTGAAGAATCCATAGTATTAAAACATTTTAGAAAATAAAATGAAGAGTTATACTTCCCTTTATTCAAAGAAAAAACTTTTTCAGAACTTGAAACCTACCTGGAACAATGACGTCACCAAACCCCAGTAAAGAGTACGGCAGATTACACACGTTCATCAGTGAACTGCCAAGGCGAGGAACCTTAAACACCATGGGGATCTGTTCCCCTGATGACGACCCCCCTGAGGACCCTCCAGTGGCTACTTTTACCATCACACTTTCTCCATTCTAAAATTAGAATGTTTTTTTTGTATTTTTTTTGAAAAAAATTGGAGAATTAGTACAGCCTTAACTAGATAATTATGAACTACATTTAAAATTGTATGAATTCATCTACTTGTAATTTTATTCAAATGATTTGTTTCTAAGTATTGTGCCAAGAGAAAATTACACGAGGGAAATGCCATGTTGTGAAAATAGTAACGCTAATTTTCTTCTAAATTATATGTATGGGAAACAGTTTTCTGAATAAAAGAAGAATTTCACTCACAGAGGTAAAGTAGGGTGTAATGAAGACAAAGAAAATGTCATACAAAAATAACAGCACCATCAGTATGACACAGATCTGGAAAAATAACACATTAAATTAATTAAATATCAACATTTTACAAACAGAAATAATTGTTAAAAAGTATACATCATAAATTTGGCACTTTTTTGTATTTTAATTTTTGGTAGAAAACCATTATGCATTTACTGGTACAATGCACCATACACTGAACAATATTGAGTACAAACACCTTCCTTGCACATTCTGCATAAGATTATTATGGCAAACTGTTTTTCCTAGCATGTACAGAATAACATGCTTATAAAGAATTGATGCTTATAACAGTATAACAAATTGAAGCTTAAAGCAAAGTGATTTTAATTCCCCTTGGCTTTGAAATATAAACATTATGAATATTAAGAACATATAGCGGATAAAACAAATTATGGATTTTAACGATCGAAGCATATTTTACTGTACATAGAACAGTACTGATCACTATGTATAGCTGTCACTTTACCTTTAAGTTTGGCAGGTGTAATGTCTTTAGCATATTTACACAGAATGCCACACCTAGGATGTCCTGTAATACCCAGGCATAACTGAAACAAAAGAAAAGTATATTTATTTTCATGTAAAGGGAAAGAGGATTCTTATACTTTAAAATACAAGAACATTTTTCCCCCAGAGCTGTGGTACTATATATAATTAGGATTATTTCAATAATATTTGAAAGAGTCATTTTACTCATCACAGCATTTTTTTCAAATAATCCAGTTTTGATGCAATTTTTACACACGGTAACATAATAACAGGAGGCGAAAAAGAAATATTTGTACATCACAGCGCATTTGAATCCTTGAAAATGAATTGCATCAAAGTAGTAATTTTTCTCTTCACTGGGCTTAAATCATTTACTTCAATTCACATTTGCTTTACAGTGTATCCAAATATTAAAAATGTTAACCAATTATTCAAATAATGTTAATGTCTATAATACCTTTCTTTTCTTTGAATTCCCCAAAACACTGCCACACCTAAGCAGAGCAGAACCAAAATTATGTCCCTATAAAATGGTCGCTGTTTTAAGAATGGAATTTTATTGGCAGGTAATCTACAAATAACAAAAAAAAAATCATTCACATATTATATTATAAGTATTTTTTAACTATGATGAGCTCCATGAACATGTTCACCATAGACTACTAATATAACAAGCAAATTCAGAATTCAAGGTCAGAGCATGAGGTGAAATAAAATACACTGTAATACTTTACAAAAAGTGTGAAATGCTCGAGTACTGTACCTGTGAAAAATATAAATGTCCTGTCTCTTCTGTTGCAAAAGTATGGTCAAAAGTACAGCTGTAGAAAAGTACATCAAATGTCTAGGTCAAGGTCATGAGGTCAAAATATTTAGTTTCTGAAATGTGTTGACATTAGGTTACATGTACAATACATACATGTAAAATCCATAAAAGCCCTGTCTTTTCTCATTCCAAAATTGCTATAAATATTAAAAATTTTGAAAAGAAGATTAAACTTAAAGAACAAGGCCAGGGGGACAAAATTCACAGTATATCTGAAAAAGTTTGAATACAGGTAATAATCATTTGAAATATGAATGTCCAATCTTCTCTCATTCAATAGTTAATATGACCAATGATAAAACTTCTTACAATTAGGTCAAACTTCAAGGTCAAAGTCACAGGTCAAATTTCCTTGTACATTTGGAAAGGTCTTCTCACATGTAATCCACAAGTGAAATATAAAAGTCCCATCTCTACTTATTCAAATCAATATGACCAATGTCTGTGTTTCTATGACAGACCAAAAGCTGGATAGACAGATGGACTAACAGACAAACCAGTGAGATTTAATGTTCTTTTGCTTTCGTGAAGGTAGGGAACAATAAGTAACTAGAAAAAAATGTCAACCTGTACAGTACACTGAATACTAAGTCTGTTCTTTGAAAAACAGAAAGGGGGGGGGGGAGGGACATGTAAGTCAATTTCTTTCAGTGACATATATATATGACTCTCCTTACTGGTTTTTTTAAAGGGGGCATGAATGTTGTCTTAGGGTGGTGGCAAGGGCATTTTTTTTAACTTTTCGTAAACATCTAATAACTTTGCAAATCTCAGGGGGATCCAGACATACCCTTCCCACAGATCCATACAATGATTCTGTCAGGAAATTGAAACCACAAGTTAGAAATATTGTCTTCGGTTAGAACATACATGTATATTTATACAAGTATTAGAGTTATTTTAATTTAATACTTTAGACTGGTTAATAAAGCAATTTATTAAAAAGTATATAAATGCTTAATTACCGAATTCCACTTTATTCCAATTTGCAAGTTTTATGTTAAAGTCCCATGAAAAGCTTCAGGTTAAAATAAGAGTCATTACCCTTTATTCAAAGTGCCATACTGTACAGTGATTCTTTATGATGAAAGTATTAAGGCATGCTGTGAATATTATGTTTTATTATACAATTGATTCATTCCCAGCTCTCTAATTTGCTAGAGATGTAAATTACCACTATTTAATATGTAATTATAAATTCCATATTAATTTATTCTTTTGTTTGAACTCTTGAATTACAAATAGAGGACTTGTAAAAAATGTTGTAGAACAACTGCATCATAGCATCCAAACATTGACACAGGGGTCATTAATTCCCGAAACATATAAATCAAATATTGCACTAAAATTTTCCCATGAAAGGCCCCACCATAAACCTAGATCCTGATTCTAATGTTTCAATGTGTAGTACTGGCACTATGCCATCATCTGGGAAATGACAGTGCTCCTACATGAGCAATACATATCTAACCAAACGATATGGTTGTCAATGATTATCCATTGAATTCTTTGAAGAAATTAAAAAAAATGAAATGAATCAGAGCATTTCTGAAATAAATATTTTTCTTTTGTTTTTACCAAATCTATGTGTGTGTGTGTGTGTGGGGGGGGGGGGGGGGGGGGGCTATTTTTTAGTATGCAGGAAAATTTAAGAAAAGTAGGTTTACTTTGCCTTTTTTATGCTTATACAGTATTTTAGTTCTTCTTTTAATTCAATTGTCATATATTGCATAGTGTAAAAAGCTTGTGCTATCATTGCTAGACATCATATATCATGTCTAATTTCATATCATGCTAATAAGCATTGGTATCTAATGCTAGACTAAAGGAAATTTGATTTCTCTAAAAATGAATTCATTTTATTTTCATTTACGGGGTACAAATGTCAACTTTTTACAAGACCGTTTCGAAGACTTCAAAGAACCTTGAATCATATTAAGATGCATAAAATGAAAATTGTTGCATGAAAAGATCTCAATGTCAAGATTCATTTAGAGACTTTTTAAATAAAATAATAAATTTAAGAGTTATCCTTCCTGGCTGAGGATCAGATATCCTTAAATATCAACATTTTACAAACAGAAATAATTGTTAATAAGTATACATCATAAATTTGGCACTTTTTTGTATTTTAATTTTTAGGTTAGCAGGTTTACTTTGCCTTTAAATAGGTACAAGAAACTTCACGTGGAAAAAGGGTGAATTAAAATCTTATATTACAGTATGAAAAAATTAAAATTGAAAAAAAAAAACCATAACTATTTTAGAGAACAAATTTGCACCCAAAGAAAAAGCTACACCAGTAGTAGTATGTATAATAGTCCTTTTTTTCTTAGAATGCAATACGTGGCTTTTTCACTAATATATTCACATCCATATAGGTGGGTTTTTTTCTTTTTTCCGTCCATATTGCTCAGAGATTAACATGTCTTTATATAAACAATTGGGCCCTCAGTGTCTCGTCTTGTAATTAAATCTGTAACACTTCTATAACTTTTTTTTTTAAAAATAAATCTCACTACCTTGCCTCCCATGGTATTTTGCTCCATAATGGCTCCACACAGGCAAATAGACCGGCTGTTCCAGCCAAACAGAACAGAGCTATCACCACATACACTGTAGAATATAAAAATATTAACTTGAACGTCTCACTGTTGTTTGAATAAAGTTTTAACTATGGTGCCATGGTATATATATACATGTTTATAATTATATATATTTTAAACATATGGATAAATATGTGTTCTTTTGTTAAGAGGAATGTAGAAGGCTAGAAGCCCCAATGATTTAAAAAGGTAATTAAAACATTTTTATTTCCCACTTTTATACAGTTGTAGCAATTAAATATGCCAGCTAGTACATTTTTCAGTTAGAACTACTTACCAAGATAATCATAGAAGAAATACAGAAGAATGAGGAAGGTACAGACAAAAAAGAAGAAGACGATGATCATTGGTACGGAGATGTCCAGCTCCTCTTCATCATCATCACTGTTGTCATCAGCTCCCGATCTCCCAGATTTTTTCCCTGAGTCTTTTGATTTTGGTTTTTTCAAACTATAGAATTTACATGTATATTACAATTCCTTACTGTTAATATTATTGTTTTTATTACACATTTGAATCTGTGACTTGCATAAATCCTTTCCATTTTCAGATGTAAATATTAAGCATCCATTCAGCAGAAAAAAATTCTGAACCTCCATAATTTAGTGAAAAAAAATGTTTTTTTTTTTTTTTTTTTTTTTTTTTTTTTTTACAAACCCATATGTATATCAAGCAATTACATTTTACTGACATTATATTGTACCCAAAATCCAGCAATAAATGATTATCCCAAATCATTTCATAACAATACTATAATCCATGCCTAGCAATACTTTATTTTCCCCAATTCTTAATTTCAGTAGCAAAACTTACCCCCTTACCAACAATATCTAATTCCCCCATCAACTCTCTCAAAAGCATATCTAACCCCTTACCCAACAATACTGAATTCCTCTCAAACTCTTTCTTCAGTGATACCTTACTCTCTAACCTGATCTTCTAGCAATAAGAACATCTCCCTGTTACATCAACCCTTACCCTGAAGTTTTGACCACTCCTGCCCAGTATCCCCCCACAATGATACACAGCATGGCCAGGAGAAAGATGACCACAATACAGGGGTCAAATCCACTACTGTCTGGAGCTACCAACATCACCTCCACTTCTGAGCCCTCTCTCTGCAATGATAAAAACAAAAAAAAAACCTTATTATAGTGACAAAATGAAGAAACTTCTACTCTGTAATTTTTTTCTATTTTCTGGCTTGTCCATCATGACAAGCAAATGTATGTCTCACATGTACATCAATTTCACAAAAATCAATTCCAGAATGTAAATAAAGGACCCCCCCCCCCCAAAAAAAAAAATACAGTCTAGGAACAGAACAATAAGACATCTGCATATTGGCTGTACAATACCAGGAGTAGACATGGTAGAAAAAAGTTCAGAAAGTATACATAAGTCAGGGTTGTCTTTAAGACCTGGAAAATGACGTTACCTCCCGGTTACTCTGGTATTCCTTGAATCCCCTTGTTAGGGGAGGAACCCCAAAACCCCTTTCTACTTTTTTTAATGTTCCCTGCTATTTCAATTCTTAGGGACAACCCTGCTAAATGATGCTAACTTTTCTGTTCCCATCAAAGTAAACATCTCAGTCATGAGTATATGCCAAATTTAAAATGTAAGAATTGAAGATTTTTCTTGCAAGTTAATTAATTCATTCTGACTCATATTTCTTGGTAAATACATGTACAATCCCACTAAACAATATATTTTAGAACATATTTATTTATGTACAGAATCAAGTTTACAATGCAGAGATCTTTTTCAATTATCTCCTATTCTCCTCATGAAATTGCACTATCAACTGACATATAAATTTTATGCAGCTGTATGCTGCTTTCAATTTCAAATAAAAATGAAAAAAAAATTGTCACATTTAAAATGCTAGTTTTACCAGAATGTCCTGAAAGTCTGCACTTTTGATGCTGGCCACAATGATATTGATGGTGTTATAGTCTGATGTCTGGTTGGCACTTGGGTATATCTGTAAATTATCATACAACTTGTACATTTTAAACATCAGAAAAAAGCATTGTGTGATCAACAAACATTTGTACCCATAATATGTTCACATACTTTGTCCAGTGTAAAATTTATCTGGTACCCCAACTTCTTCCTGTTTCTTAGTTCCCCCTCCTACCTTGTTTTTGGAGATAATCAATATCCCTGCTGCTCCATGTCTCTTGGCCATCATGGCTTTTTCTGTGAATGTACATGTCCGATTTCCTCTGGCAATGGCCACAATTTTCCCCTTGACGTTGGTGTCATTGGTGTAAATAACACTGGAAAAACAGCCCTCATCTTGGGACAGGTTTACTAGGTCATAAGCCTTCTGTATAAAGAAAAGAAATGAGTAACCCAAGATAAGACTTAATGTGTGCCGTATATACTCGCCTAAAGGTCACAACAAATTTTGGTGCAAAACACTATGTCAAATTTATTAGAATCCTAGAAAATTCAGTATTTTTCTGGATGAGAAAATAAACTACAAGTAATTTGTAAAATTTAAAATGATAATCATCTATATGATTTACAAATGTCAGAACTTAAACTAATGCTGGAAAGGAAGGTCTAAGATTATACCATATTATACCATAATTATGCTTATAACACAAGTACTTTCAGATTTAAATGATCTTATTTTGTAAATAATAGTCTCAATTATCAATGTTTATGCCCAAAAACATACTTTTAACAACAGGTAAATACTATTATAAAAAAAATTGAAGTTGGTAACAGATTCTGGCAGAAAAAACATACTGACTTATAAGAGAGTCAGGGGCAAACTCCTCCAATATAATCTGATAAAATATAACAAACTTAAAAGTGAACAGACTTATAAGTGAGAATATATGAGGGGTGATCAAAAAGTTCGCAAACTATCTCTATATTTAAAAAACCACAATTCAGATCAGAATGAAATTTGGCACACATATAGTCAAACACATGTTCTATAAATAGCAGATGTTAAATAATGTTTTGCTCCGTGTTTATGAAATCACAATGTTAAAATGAAGTCAGTATGTAGATGATTTGTGACAAGAAATGGTTGACTCAGTCGTACTCAAGCAACGAACAGCTGTAAAGTTTAACGTATATCTTAGAAATTCCTTTGCAGTAGAATAAGATAATTTGTACAAGGTTTATGAAGACAAAAGACTTACCAGAAGTTCAATTACTAATTGGATCAAAAGGCAGGGAGATGATTAAAAATTATGTTTATTCTGTTGACTAGCAAAAGCAAGCCGGTTAAAAGATGTGTCCTTAATTGAGCAATTTGTTTTGAAAGGTCGCCAAGTTACAGTAAGAAAAATAGTTGAATATCTGAGCAATAATATAATTATTAAATCCCTAAAATATCGCTTACTTTAGACTTTAAACATATGAGATATGAAAAAAAGAAGGCGCCCATACATTTTTCACATTGGATAAACGACGCTCCCGAGACAGAGAACTCGGGTTGTGATGGCCACCATGCTAATTTTGGGAAGGGATATCCTTATCCGCCCATCCTATTGCCGAGATTTGGCCATTTCTGACAGATGGTCTGTTCTTGTTATAAAAAATTACTTGCATGGTAAGAAATATGAGACTCGGAAAAACCTCTCAGCTTCTGTGAACAGATCACTACGAAGCATGTCACGTGACCGCCTGGATCACGTGATTTGCGCATGGGCAGAACAATGTCAGATGTGCATTAAAATCCAAGAGGACCACTTTAAAAAATAATAAACACTGAAACCTCATATTATTTCTTTTAAGGAAGTAACTCAATTAGTTTGCGAACTTTTTGATCACCCCTCGTAAGGTATGTGCATAACTGGAACACTTTGTTAACAAGGTTTGACTGTAATTATTACATTCTGTTTTAACATTTTGTATGTTACAATTTCTTGTTCCAACTACAGTAAATTCTTTTGTAAGATTTATATATAATAATTATAACAATACAAAATTTCATAATAGACTGGAATGTTGATAATGTTCACAGCTTGAGCTCAGCAGCTGTGGTTTGCTACCTGTCATTTATCTTTGCCACTGGGAAAAAAACCCAGAGTGAATACTGTGTCGGATTTATTCAATCAACTTTTCATTATTTTCTTTATAAATTGCTAAATGTAGATTGACTTTTGTATTGTTTTGATAATACCTACAGCCTGCGACTTCTCCTCTGGGAGAGAATGGAAGAGTGGATTGTACAGTATACAGAAATGGTCACCCCATTCAGTATGGGAGGAATTCGGCTTGGCAAAAATTACACCATTGCCGTCACACACAACCTAAAACAGATGATACACATGTAATTATATTATCGTGATAAAAAGTTACATGGGTCTATTGTCAATCACATATTTTAACACACTTAAGTTTGAATGGGCAAGGCACGGAAACTTCTTCATTGAAAAAGCAAATTGAAAATTAAGTATCACAAAAAAAGTGAAAAATTTCTTCCTGCTAAATGTAACTTGACCCACAGTAATGATTATAACTATCTTATAGTTAGTTACCTTGCACTACAAAACGTATATAATAATTGAGTCATGTTCAGTCGATATGCTTTGAATTATACATTGCTTGAGGACCATGATAATTGTAATTCAAACATATTTCAATAAACATTTTACAAAATTTTAAAAGGAATATTACCTTTGCAGTTTTTCTTTTTTCAAAAGGATTTATTCTAACTACATGTAGACCCATGATATCATATTCCTTATGTTTACAACCTTGTGATCTTAACATGAATAAGTATCAGTGCTGCTATTCATGTAGACATTATACATGTATTTCCTGTTTCTCTGCTTTTGTGCACTCAGAAACATCAAACACGGCTGGAGAATATGTGAGAATCTAACAAGAGTTGAACTCTTTTATCACTGAATGCTCTACTCTGTGAGGCAATAGGTCCTTCAAGGTATTCTACCCGGTCAGATAGACTTCATCCTGACCCCCCTCCCCCAAGTTAATGTTTCTGCTTGAAAAAAAATAATAAAAAACTTACAGACCTATATTGATCCCTTAAACCTGGACACTTCATTTCATTTTGAATATTTACCCTTAAGTCTTAATCATGGAGAGCAACCAAATGAATTGAAATAATTTTGATAAACCTAAATTTAAACAAGGAAACACATCTGTGGAGCCACATGACTCAACAGATTTATCAATAAAGCAATAAAAACAGCAACCAGCAAGCTTCACTAGGCAAGTATGCTTGCAAAGCTCAGAGCCAGTTTTCATTGCTTCCTGCTGATATAACTCCTGTGGTGGATCCAACATAAGAACCTGCAAGCAGGGACCTATATACTAACGTTGTAGTATGTATTAGGTCTCTGATCATGCAAGTAAACTAGTTGCCTTACATATCACAGGTACATTTGAATTGTACAAGTATTTTTTCTCTCTATAAGATCGAATTATAGTCATTTCAGATTGTTATTCCGAGATTCTTACTCTAACTCCAGTCTTTTTATTTCTTTATTTTGACCTGATGAGGGGGTTGGGTCGAGTACAAAATCAAACAATATAAGGAGGAATCTCTGATTAATAAAGTGTGGTTAGTTGATAAGAGAGATGTGTTTTCAATACTCAGTCTAACCTTCCTAGATAACTGAAATCTCTCCAACGCCATTTTGCGAAAGAGACATTGGCAACTCATTGAACTGCCAGGTACTGTGGGGTCATAAAAAAACTCCCACCTGTTAACGGAGGAAGAAATATAATACACATAGGGACTATACTGTACCTTAATCATTATAAGCATCTATTCAGAATAATTCTATAGACTTTACCTTGTCGATTCCACAAAAACATAAAATTATAAGAAGACTCGTAAAGTTTGTTAATCCCATGTTTACGTTTTTATTCTTCCTTCGTGCTGCACTTTCACTTTGCACGAGCTTGCGCACTTGACATTTAAAGAAAGACAACTCAAGATCTCTCGAGATTTCTTTCTTTACTCGGGATATTACAGAGTTATCTGCCCATTAATCATTTAAGTTTTACAAAGATCCGAGGTTTAAAAAAAGCAGCCCTGATCACAGGGGGCTTGCCAGGTAATGTTTGCCCTTTTATAGTAGGAGTAACTGTATATTTACAGAGGGCATATATTTTGTGACAACTGACGAGGCCCTTGGATATGCTCTGATATGAAAAATCTAATTAAATAGTTTAATGGACTTTTGAGCTTGAATACTGTTCGTTATCTCCATATATTTCATAGAGATATATAATGTGTACATTTTTCTTTATAAAATACATCTTTAACATCAACTGAGTTATAAAAGATTACATAACAAAAATATCTGCCATGGAGTCATTTTGAACTCTAGAGTAAAATTAAAAAAAAAAAAAAACCGACAGATTCATGAAAAATTTTACTTAGATCTTCATAGATAATCGATCTATATAATTTAATAATTCTTGGCTGAACGTGCTTTTTTTTTTTATTATTTCCATTGATAATTTTAAACATATCTTATTTCTATTGTTCTGAATGAAAAGATTTTTTTAACTTCAGATAAAAAAGCACTGTTTTGCATGTGTAATTTTTCTACAGAAACGCAATATAAAATTCTCAACCTTTTAATTTCACAAAGTGCACGTATCTGTAATTCTTCTATTGGTGTATACACAGAGCAGCTGTCATGTAGCATCTAATATGTTCTGTCACTTCAAATATGTTTCTGGAATGGTCGCGGTATTGATGCTGTTTTTTCCCTAGGTCCATGTCCAATTTTTCGACTGAAGAAAGCTTTCTCCCCTTAATCCCAATTAAACTGCAAACGCTTTATATATAGCTGATGTTCATGTTCCCTCCCTCTGTATTTTCTCTCTCTCATCTCTCTTAAGACTCTCCCTCTCCCCCACTGTCACTCTCTATCCCCCACTCTACTTTCTCTCTCTCAATGTCGCCTGTCGCTCTTTAGTTTTTCCCTATATTTCTTCTCTCTTTCCTTAGTCTCTCCCTATACCTTCACTGTCGCCCTCAATTTGCGTTTTCTCTATCAATGTTGGCTGACGCCCTCTGGTTTTTCCTTACCTCTATTTCCTCCCTCTCTGTCTCTCTCTCGTCTCTACCTCTGCTTTCTCTCTCCCTTTACTTTTTCTCTCTCCCGGTTGCTCTATCTCCTCTAATTCCCTCCCTTTACTTTCTCTTTCTCACACTGTCGCTCTGTCGCCTCTCCCTCTATCTCCCTTCTCTCTCTAACTGTTACTGTAGCTTTTTAGTCCCTAGCTTCATCTACTTTCTCTTTCTCACTGTCGCTTTTTCCCCCACCTCCCTTTCATATCTCTCTCTCTGACGCTGTCTTGCCTCTCCTCTCTCCCTTTCACTCTCGGTCGCTCACTAGTATCTCTCTCCCTCTTCGCGCTCCCTCTTACTGGTGCTCTCTAGTCTCTGCCTCCCTCTACTCTCCCTTTCTCTCACTGTCGCTCTCTAGTGTCTACCCCCCTCTACTCTCCCTTTCTCTCACTGTCGCTCTCTAGTCTCTACCCCTCTACTCTCTCTTTCTCTCACTGTCTCCCTCTGGCTTCTCCCTCCCTCTACTTTCTCTCTCTCCCTATCGCCCTCTAGCCATTACCTCCCGCTTTAATTTTTTCTCTCCGTTCCCGGCGCTTTCTCACCTCTTCCTCCTTCTTTTTTTCTCTCTCTCACTGTCACTATGCAGGCTACCCTTCTACTTTATCTCTTTTACTGCATTTTTGCTCTCCCTCCCACTATATTTCTCCCTTTTACCATATCGTGCGCTCTCTCTCTTCTATTTCTCTCTCGCTATCGCTCTATCTCCCTCCCACAGTTATTAAACATAACAGACACAAATTCCGTCTTCGTTTCCACTGTTTAATACCTTTTACCCAAGCAAGATAGAAAAAAGAATACTAGTTGTATAGTTGTATGTAATTGTACACTAGCCCTCATTTTGTCTTTCCTTTATTTTTTCTTTTCTTTTTATTCAAAAAAGAAAACTTCTCTATTAGAGTTAGATATTATTGTGTGCTGGTCATCTACAGATGAAATAAGCGAACTATAATGTTTAATCTTTTTATACAGATGTATTTGTCTGTGTGTATATCCGTTATTTTCAGGCTCACAAAAAGCTAATGAGCCTGAAAATAACGGACATACACACAGACAAATACATCTTTATAAAAAGATTCACATGGGGGGTGGGGGGGGGGGGGTGGGGGGTTCGAATCAAACAGAAATTTTAAAAAAAAGATTCCTTCACCAAAAAGAAAAAAGAAAAAAAGGGGAACAAAAGATCATCAGATATATTATTGAGGGGGCTCAACTTTAAATAAGTTTACTTTCTAGTTTATACAATATATGAACGTGTATTGCAAAATTAATACGAAAAGTGAGGTTCTTTCCCCCTCACAAACACACCGTCTGGTTCTTCCCGATTTTTGTGAATCTGATTTTGTTTTCTTAAAAAAAAATCCGCTTTTGCGATGATACAAACTGGTTCAAGATTATTGGACGCTGCTACACATAAATGTATTTTTAGCAAAACTGCAAATCAAGTGTTTTTTTTTTTAAATCAAGTTTTATTATTTTTTTTTAAACATAAAGATAGTTCCCATTGAAAAATCGTGATTTATTATTTCTTTGAATCAACTACACCCCCACCCTGTTGAATTCGCCTATAGACTTATTAACAGGGTATATAATAGTTCTGCTCCTTTTATTGACCTCATGTCATAACCTTGACCTGCTTTAATATAAACGCTCTACATTAAACATGACATGCTTCAGAAGAACTAGGTCTGGGTGTATATATGCATGTAGGCAGATAGATGTATTTGAATTCACAGTGATATACTTGTATATATATATATATATATATATATATATATATATATATATATATATATATATATATATATATATATATATATATATATATATATATATATATATATATATATATATATATATATATGCTTAATTAAGAAATGGACTAAAATTTATTTAAACCATGCATTTGCATTAATGTATTTTTAGAAGACTTGCGTTGTCTTTGCACTAAAATACTTTCAATCAAGATTTTGAGCAATTTCTTTTCATACTAAATTATTTTATTTTTAATACTGTGTCTTCATAAATAAAAGAATAACAATTAAAAAAAAGTAATATTAGCTCTTAAGCATGTTAAAATGTTAAAATAAAAAAAAGTAATATTAGCTCTTAAGCATGTTAAAATGTTAAAATAATATGCCTGTTGATTTAATATTTAGTTTAATAATTATCAGTAAAAAATGAAACCAGAAAAAGTGCATGAGACTGAATGAAATCAACTTCTGGGTGTTTGTCACCAGGTGTCTATTAATAATAACAATTTACCATGCACCTCAAAATAAATGTATTCATTTCATGTAAATAATGGTTATACATCAGATTTCTAGTATTCGGACACAGATTACATAGAATTCCAATGTTCAAGCTTGAAATTGTCTCTATTTCTAAACCGTCCAAGGTTACATTAAACCCCAAATTACTCAGTATATAAGAACTGCTACATGTAGTAATAGTTTGCAATAAATCGTCAGCTTAATGAATACTAATGCTTTCTCTGGAATACGAGGTAGGCGTGAATTCCAGCATCAGGACTCGGAAAAATAAAAATATAATAAGTAATATAATATATAAGTGATTTGTTTCACTTAATAATCCAAGCTTCTGCTTTTTGAAGCAAGCTTCCTAGAAACGCTTCTCGAACTATAGAAACCGGAAGTAAATGTCCACGTGGCATTAACACAATCCCAAGCAATGTGTCCATTCCGGTCCGATGCGTCTCATGAATCTGGAGCAGCACATGCGCATAAGGAGTAGCCGGATTTTGGTCTTTATCAAAAGATCCTTGATGATTCAACATCACATAAGTTCCTTTGTGGAGCATTTTAGGTTTTGAATTTAGATCGAAAAATGTCGGTAGGATATTTACATGATTAGCCAGATGAATTGCTTCGTTTATTTCAAAGCTGGTCGGCTGTGTCATATCCGTTGAAGGTCTAAATTGCAAACGCCAGCTGTCCAAAATACGATCTTTTTGAGACACAGACACATTCTGTCTCTTCCATACACAATTAAAACACTTTAAATTCCTCCACTTTAAAATACTTAAACTCATTCTGCTAAAATTTTATTGCATCATTGGTCGAATAAAGTATTTTAAGTACACGTCTTGATATATCCTCCAAAATTTCTGCACATTTAATTCTTAAACATCCATGTACATGTATGTACTTTTAAAAGGAAGGGGGCAGGGAAAAGACATAAATTTTGAAATATCATTTTGACTCATGTTTAAAAGTATCATTAAGATATTTGGAAGATATAATTGCATTGTAAGATATCTATTTAATGCATCAATTTTTAGGAGAATTCTGTACAATTCAAACTGAAATACATGCAATTTAAATTAGTAACGAATTTCGGGTTGTTTTTATAAGGGATAATGCTTTCATCAGTCAACGTATGACAATAAATACATGTCTGATCCTCCATACATATTCACGTAGATAATGACTGTGTCCTCTATCAGCGGTCTGAATGTTGACCCAGGCTTTGAAGATAGTGTTATACTTAGGGTAACCTTAGGTAAACCTTCTCACGGGGATAAGTCATGATTATATACATGTATGTATGGAGGAAGGAACTTTATATCACCAGGCACTGCTTTATATTTTTAAAAAAATTAAATACTTATATGTATTACTTCATTATTTTGTTCTATACAAAAATTTTGATATTTCTTATGCAAAATTAAAAAAAAAAAACATGTGTTGCATATTGTATTTGATAAAATAAAATAGGTCAGAATAGACACCTCGCTGCTTCAATACTGTTTCAATATTTATATA